GAGTCGATATTTTCTCTGCGTGGCCATAGGGAGCCATTGGAGTTTACTGAATAGAGTGACATGGCGAGACCAGGACTTTTGAAAATCACTTTGGCTCCTGTATAGAGGATGGATTAGAGTGTGGAGGAATTAGAAGGCTATTGAAATAGTCAAAGAAGACATGGGGTGAAGGTGTCTGCGAGAAAGGAGAAAAGGTGATGTAGCTGAGAAATGTGGAGAACAAGATAACAGGATTTGGTAACTATATCTATATCTATATCTATATCTATATCTATATCTATATCTATATCTATATCTATATCTATATCTATATCTATATCTATATCTATATCTATATCTATATCTATATCTATATCCATATCTATCCACATCCACATCCACATCCACATCCACATCCACATCCACATCCACATCCACATCCACATCCACATCCACATCCACATCCACATCTATATCTATATCTATATCTATATCTATATCTATATCTATATCTATATCTATATCTATATCTATATCTATATCTATATCTATATCTATATCTATATCTATATCTATATCTATATCTATATCTATATCTATATCTATCTATATCTATATCTATATCTATCTGTATCTGTATCTGTATCTGTATCTGTATCTGTATATATATATAGAGTCAATTAGAGTAAGGAATTGAGGAGGACATTGAGGGGTGGAGCTTGGGTGATTAGTAGGATGGTGCTGTTAAATGTAAGAGGGACAGGGCAGCTAAGTGGCATGGTGAACAGAGTACCAGCCCTGGAGTCAGGAGGACCTGAGTTCAAATCCAGCCTCGGACACTTACTAGCGGTGTGACCCTGGGAAAGTTGCATAACCTCTGTAAAATAGGGATAATGATAGGGGAACATGGTCAACAACGTCAAACATAGCAGAAAGGCCAAGTATGATGACTGAGAAAAGTCCACTTGTTTTGACAATTTAGAGATCATTGGTAACTTTAGGGAGAAAGTTTAGGTTGAATAATGAAGTTGGAAGTCAGATTGCAAAGGATTTAGAAGACAGTGACAGAACAAGAAATGAAAACAGATGGCATTTTCAAGTTTAGTTAAGAAGGGAGAAGGAGAAAGGAGACAGATAAAGGAGACTGTAGGGTCTATTCAGGTCATTTTTTCAAAGGATTGTTGAGAATTGGACATGTTTGAAGGGAACGGGGAAAGAACAACTAGATAGAGACCAAAGACTAGGGAGAGTGGAGATGATATTAGGGCATTATGCCAGAGAAGATAGTAGGATGGACTCAAGGGCACATATAGAGGAGTTATAGTTGGCAAAGAAAATGGCGCCAGCTTTTCATCAAAGACTGAAGGAAAGGAAGAGATAGTAAGGGGTGATGGCAGAGGATTGGGAGATGTGGAAAAATGGGTAAGAAAGACCTCTTGGTGAAAGTCACCAAGTTTGTTGGTGAAGTATGAGACTACATCCTTAGCCGAGAGAAAGAGAGAGAGAGAGAGGAACGAAGAAGGGGAGAGAGAGAGGAAGAAGGGGAGAGAGAGAGAGACAGAGAGAATGAGAGGGAGAGAAAGAGAGAGTATGAGAGAGAGAGAGGAAGAAGGGGAGAGAGAGAGGAAGGAGAGAGAGAGAGCGAGCATGATAGATACCAGAATCTTCATTAGCTGATAGATTTGGATTGAATGAACCTCAAAGGAAGAAAGATTGATTAGTTATAATGGTACAGTGAAAGTCTGGGAGTGGCAATGGGTAACAAGGAGTATTTTTGACTCCCCTGCTGCAACTAATGAGTTGAAAGTATGAGAGAAAGTACAACCAGCAATGAAAGGAAGTCAGGGATGCTTTATCTTCCATAGGGAGCCAGATATCATTGAGTGCCAGAAGTTGAAAAGAAAAAGGGATTAAATGGCATAAAATGAAAGGGCACAGGGGAAGAGGTGGGAAGATGTGGAGTAGGACATTTTGTCAGCCCTCACCTGCTTAGCCTGTCATGATATATCCTAGGAGGCTTCTGGAAACCTTTCATGGAAGGCACGAAAAAGAGATAGCTGGAAAGAAGGAGATTTTGTGTCTCTGGGGCAGCTTAAGGAGGCAAGCATGAGCAGGATCCCTAGTGTATTATGGCCCTGGGGCACCCTGACACTTAAGAAGCAGGGGGTCCCAATTCAGGATAGCCAGGAATGAAGTGTGGGAGGGTAGGTGGGTGGAGGGCAGGGCTGGGGAATTCAGGGAAGGTGTTAAGAGGCCCAGGAAAGGCTCTAAAAATCTTAAAAGTTGCAAGAACAGCTGTCTCTTCTTCCCTTAGAAACAACCACAACAGGGCTTAGCATTGTTTTTCACCTAAGTCTTGTGACATTGTGATTGACTGTTTGACACATTGTAATAATAGGAGTAATAGGAAGCTATTACTCAATTTCAGTTTCAACAAATGTCTTCTTAAGTTAGGGTGTGTGAACTTTTTGTTTGTTTTAAATTTGATAACTGTATTTCCATATATTTCATTTCCTTTATAATTAGATGTATTTTGCTTTACACATTTAAAAACATTATTCTGAAAATGGCTTCAACTAAGACTTACATGAACTGATGCTGAGTGAAGTAAGCAGAACCAGAAGAACATTGTACACAGCAACAGCAATACTGTGTAATGATCAGCTATGATAGACTTAGCTCTTCTCAGCAGTACAATGATCCAAGCCAATTCCAAAAGATTCAAGATGGAAAAAGCTATAGGCATCTAGAGAAAAAACTGTGGAGTCGGAATGCAGATCAAAGCATACAATTTTTGCTTTTTTTTTCTTTTGCGGTTTTTCTTTTTTGTTCTGTTTCTTTCATAACATGACTAATGTGGAAATATGTTTAACATGATTGCACATGTATGACCTATATCAGATTGCTCATAATCTTGGAGAAGGGAGACAGGAGGGAAGGAGAAAAAATTGGAACTCAAAATCTTATAAGAAATGAATATTGAAAACTATCCTATATGTTATCGGAAAAATAAAATATTAAAAGAAAAAAACAAGGGGGCTGCTAGGTGGTGCAGTGGGTAGAGATCTGGCCTTGGAGTCAGGAGGACCTGAGTTCAAATCCAGCCTCAGACATATAACACTCACTGGGCAAGTCACTTAACCCCATTGCCTTATCCAAAAAACAAAAAAAAAATGAAAAGGGCTTCGCTGAAACACAGCATGTCTGGTTTAGTGCCAGGCATTAAGAATACAAAAACAAAAATATGAAGACGGTCCCTACCCTCAGTGCAGTAAAATGTGGAAATAATACATAATTTAATTAAATACAAAGGAGTGTTTTGAGGAAGGGTGGGGATAGTGAGTATTAACGACTAAAGAGTCAAGGAAAGGCCTGGAGGGGAGACCTGAGCTAGATATAAGGACTGGAAATTGGAGCTTAGAGAGCTGGGGCAGGTTTAACTTCCACACTCCACTAGGGGCATTTTTGCTGGCTGTCCACTGTGCCTGGAACCAACTTCCTCTTCATCTCCACCTCCTAGATCCCTTGGCTTCTCAACTAAAGTTGAGGTCTGAACTAAAGTCCCACCTTATACAAATGCCCTTCCCAGTCTTCCTCATTCAGAGGTGTAAGGAAGCTCAAGTGATATAATGGGTGTAATACACTTTGCAAACTTTAAAACGCTATATAAATGTCAGTTATTGTTATTAGCCTATAACTACCGTCTAGGCAAACCAATGCTGACTTCATTCCTTGAGCCTTCTGCTGTACTCCTGCTGAGCTCAAGCAGTGTTTATAGAGCAATACAGAGGCATGCTGTTAAATATGTAACAACCTGGCTTAAAAAAAGAAAAAAAGTATGCACACACTTCTAAGTTTACTCTGCATAATTAGCAATTTCTTAAGTCTAGACAAGCAACAAAACAATAAATCAAACCCTGATTTCTGAGGTGTAAATGCTTGCCCTGGAAATTTAACAAGCTGTCAAACACTTGGAATCTGACAAGCACACTAGTGTCTTCCTTCTGAGATTATTTACAGTTGTCAACAGGCAATCACAACTTCACGAAATTTACATGAAAACTAGGTTTATTAAAAGATAAATGAACATGCATGTGCAATCCAAAGAGCTCACAATCCACACAGAAGTTTGAATTTTTATAACAGCAGGACAAAGGAAGGAGGAGATATCAGAAATCTCCACCTAAGGAGCATGGCATGGGAGGGGGAAAGGTGAAGTAAAGGTGGGAAAAGGCCAAAACCCCTCCCAAAGGGGAAGAGCAAGGCAATGGCAAAAGCCACAGTCTTTTCTCTTGGGAGCTGCTAGACTGTGAAGATAAATAGGAGGGTTGGCTTATCTGCAAAGGACCCTAGCTTGCACAAGCTCTTTCCTAGTCTAGTGCAGACTCAGAAAATCATTCATCTCAGTTTACTCTGTATATATCTTATTTTATATATATTTCTGTTTTCACGTTGGCTCCCTCCTTAGACTGGGAGGTCCTTGAGAGCAGGGATTGTTTGTTTGCCTTTCTTTTTATTCTCTAGCCCTTAGCACAGTGCGTCACATGTTTGTTACTGTTGTTGTTGTTCAGTCCTGTCTTACTCTTTGTGAGGGCTTTTCTTGGCAAAGATACTGGAGTGGTTTGCCATTTCCTTTTCAAGTGTGTCTCCATTTTACAGATGAGGAAGTGGAGCGAATAGGGGTTAAATGACTTGCCGAGGATCACAAAGCTAATAAGTGTCTGAGGCCAGATTTTAAACTCAGATCTTCCTGATTCCAAGACCCATCCTCTTTCTACTGTACCCCCTCATTGCCTAACACTAGTAGGTGATTTATAAATGCTTGTTGGGTAATTGACTTATAATGATAATTGAGTGAGTTATAAACGTTATCATTTGTTCAGTTCCTATTTTACATAGTACCGAACACATTTTTTTTTATGACAACAGGAAAAAAAGCTTTCAGGCTAACCAAGGTGTCTATAGTACAATACAAGAAATTGCAGTGAATTTCTAACTTGGTAATATTTTTATTTTAACAGCTAGACCAAGCAACTCTCTCCTTAGCAGTGAGGGAAGATTACCTTGATAACAGCACAGAAGCTAAAGCTGTAAGTTGTTTTTACCTTTTATCGCCTGTCTTTGCCAAGTGGGACACTCTTTTCAAGTTCATAGTTCAGAATTAGAAATGGACTATGCTGCTACCCTGAGCTGGGAGCAGTAGAATCTACCATTCTAGATTCTTTATGTAGGAAGAAATATTGGCTTCTTCTGGTTTTGGTCTTTTAGAAGACATGAATGTCTGAATTATATTAGTCTCTCTCCTCAAAGAGATTCTTTCTCTTTTTAAATTTTAAATTTTATTATTTTATTCTGAACTTAAACATGCCACCCTCTCCCCTAAATAAAGGTTCAGCAGAATAATAATTAAAAAAAGATTCTATAGGAAACCATGACTAGAGGGTTTTTTTTTCCTGCAAAGGAAACAGTGGAATATTCCAAGTAAATGGAATAGATGAGAGAGTCCATTAGCAGATACAAATGAGAACATAGTAGAAACTGAGTTCCTAAGTGCTGAGGGAATTCTTAATAGAGCAGGGAAGAGTCAGGTGGCATTAACCAAGCAGAACTTCCTGGGTCAGCCTAATCTGAAGAGTTCCTGAAGATTGGGTTAGAGCTAGAAAATTTTAAATACTTTGGGAGATTCTTCTAAGATTCCAAATGAATTGAATAACCTCCAGAAGATGTTTGATCTTTCTTTTCCTGTTAATCCCCTCCCCCCCTCCAAGTTATCGGGATTGCAGATCTAGTGTAAGACAGTACTGAACTGGAGGAAAATAAAAGCTTGCTTCTCTCCAGACTAGCTTTCTAGTCTGGAGAAAGAGTTCGAATCCCAGACTCACCAGTTTTGTGACATACTGAAGGCAGGGGCCAGGGGTCTTTCATTTTGGAATTGAATGGAGTGAACATCTGGTGAGCTGTGATTTCCCTTAATGTTCATGAAATGTACTAAAATGCTACCTCACCTTTTGTCTGAGGGTCTGTTGGAGCGGAACCTGTACAATGACTTATATTTCCTTTTACCCAGATAGAAAGGATTTCAAAAGTAAGAAACCCCAGGGTTAGAAAGGAAGGTAGCTGCTTGAACTCAAAGGATGCCTCTTTTATTTGCCAGACTACTAAGTTCTCTCAAAATAACGTATCAGGAGTACAATAGAGCTTTTATGGATGTTCATGGAGTAAATTTTAATGTTTCCATGGAGACCTACCTTCTTCCCGGCCTCTTCTGAGATGAGAGCTAGGTTCCTTGTGAAAATGAATTTTTCACTAACTAGAACAAAAACAGAGCAAAAAAACCATAAACAAAACCCCTCAAAACAAACCCAAAGCACCAAACAAACCATCCAGGAAAAAAACTACATCCTTAGTTTATGTATTGGTGTTAGGTTGGTGAATCAGTTCCCCACAGTCTCCCATGCTGTTAGATCATGCTTCCTTTTAGACACCATCACTCTTCATCATTTTATTAAGATTTCACTTTCTTGGAAAAGAGGACTTTTGAACTTTTGATCATTATTCTGGATTTATTTAAAATTGTTCAAACCTATCACATCCATTTGTATGTATCTAATAACAGGTATCATAAGTTTCTAGAAAACTAATTCTCATTGATTTGTGATGGATGACTGCCCCTGTCTCCCGTGGCAACAGTCCACGAGTGGTTATCAGTTGTCTCTTTCTTGAAGTGGTGGGTAGATGAGTGGGTGGTATTACATAAGGTTGGCACTGGCAGTGCTGGCTGGAAAGTGTAAGGTATTTATTTCAATTAGCATTTCTGCTCTCTTACCTAAGAGATTGTTGTTGTGATCACTTAGCTCTCCATTTTTTTTTTCCAGTACCGAGATGCCCTTTACAGGTTCATGGTGGATACTTCAGTGCTTTTGGGTGCTAATGTCTCTCGAGCTGAGCATGACATGAAATCAGTACTCAGGTTGGAAATTAAAATAGCTGAGGTGAGTAAATAAAAGGTACCATTGGTGCTGTTGCTAAAAAGCTTGGTTTAAGAAATAGGTCTTGAATTTATGAGACATACTTTCTCAAAGAACCTATTGGACATCAACATTGCACCTTGTAGCATCCCTTTTGTATTCATGAAGACACTGGCAGGCATCTCCAGTTGTCCTGATCTGTATCTGGATACTGGACCCAGAAGGCTGCGGAGGAGAAAAGTGAGCCTGGTGACTTTGCACAGCCCTCCCTCACTTAAATCCAATTCGCTTGCAAGTTATGGCATCACCTCCCTGATGTCATGGTCCTCTTCAAGAACAAAAGTCAAACAACAAACAAGAGGAAGACACTGGCACCATACTTTCCTGGGAGTAGGCAGATACTTTCCCCCTTGTTACCTCTACTTGTATGTTCCTGGCTGTGCCTGTGCCAATGCTTAGCTGTAGTGAGAGAATGTGTACATCACTGTCTACAGAAGCACTATAGCGGTATACAGTGGCAAGCTGGAGAGCTGCCTATGGAGACTTTCCATACGTGTGAGGAAAGCACAGTGCTAGGCAATTAGATGTGGTAGGTCTTTAGTGAGTACCTGCTAACACAGGAACAAGGAGGAGTCAGACACCTTCAGCCAACCCCATTCTTGATCCCATTACTTCACCGGAAGGAGCCTGGGTATAGATCTTGGTTTGAGAGACAGACATATCAACAAATACTGAATGGATCATTGTAATGGAGAGTCAGTGAGGGACCCAAGCTGCTGGCCTTGCTCACAGCTCTTTACCAGCAGAAGTGTGAGGGAGAAAATTCCAAAAGATTTCTGGGTCCAGCAGGAGCCAATACAATTAAATCTAATTATGGAGACCACCTCTGATTCCAAGTGGAAAAAAGGGAGATTTTTAACAAGCAGATTTTTGAATACAGCTTTGTTGCAGTTATTTTGAGGTTTGGCAACTTTTTTGAAGTGCCTTATCAAGTCTGTATTCATTCCCTTGTGAGGGATGGAGAGGACACTGACAGGCTGGCCACGACTCCAGTCTCCACCATGACCTGACTCCCTCCACAATCCTATGTGTTGCTCCAGGAATGATAATCTGGCAAGCCTGTGTGTCATGGATTTTTGACCTTCTGGTTTGCCCTCTGTTTTCTAGTAAATGCTTATACAGCTCTGCTTATAGTGGAACTGCAGGTGTCTAAGTGTGATTGATTCTGATTTACATCAGAGGCCACCAGGGGCAGAACTTGGCAGCTGGCTGCCACTTCCCCCCATGCTATGCTCTGTTTCCAAAAATACGTGGGCAACTTGACTGCATTCCATTGGGAGAGTCTGATTTTCTGCTGCTGCCTAGACATAGTTATCCTTAACTAATGCCCTTTGTGCCACTAGGGAATTAAAAAGGAAGTAAAATATATGATCGTACCTCTTGAGGAACTTTATGGGCTAAGGGGGGAGGGAAAGTTAAGCCAGCATAGCACAAATAAATCATTTTAAACAAAAATATAGAAATGTGTATATAGGATCAATGACAGATGTACATTTAGTATGAAAAGGCTTCATGGACAAGATCCATTCATCCATCCATCCATCCATTCATCCATCCATCCACCTATTTATTCATTCATTGAAGCTACTAGGCAGCAGAGTGACTAGAGTACAGAGCCCATAATTAGGAAGACCTAAGTTCAAATCTAGCCTTAGACACTTACTAGCTCTGCAATGTTGGGCAAGTCACTCAATTTCTGTGTGCCTCAGCTACCTCAATTATAAAATGGGAATCATAATAGCATCTACTTCCCAAAGGTGTTGCAAGAATTAAATGAGATAATGATATTCATACACTGCATCCTGGGCCGGTGCTCGTCATCTTGACATTTGTCTTGCCACTGGACTTTGATGATTCTAGAAGAGAGAGTGAGGCTGATGACTTTATGTAGCTCTGCTTCACTTAAATCCTATTCATGGGCAAGTCAAGATATCACCCCATGATGTCATTGGTCTCAGGGAGCTTACATTCATGGATAGGTGGTTTAGAAACAACGTAAGAGGAAATAATATGCTTATAGATAAATAAAAGGTGGAGATATAAAATGTACAAAATGAGTACTAAGTATTTGGGAGGGGGGTTCAGGAAAGACCTCTTTTAAGAGGCAGTACTTGAACTGATCCTTGAAGATGAGGGATTTTAAGAAGCTGAGGCGAGGAGGGAAAACATTTCAGGCAGGGGAGAGAGCAAAAACCTGTCTGTGAGAGATGGAATGCCATTTGCAGAGAATATTATATAGTTCAGTTTGGCTGGAATTTGGAGGATGAAGAGGAGTAATGTGAGATCAGTCTTGAAAGATAGGTTGAAGCCAGATTGTGAAAAGCTTTCAGGGCCGAAGAGGGGAGTTTGTGCTTTTTTCTTGGGGCATTGAAGCAGTTGGATTTGATGACCTTTAGATTCCCTTCCAGCTTTAACCTATGATTCTATGATTCTTAACATTGGAATGAACAGGGATGGTCAGAAGTGTCCTTTAGAAATATGAATTTGACAGCCATGTAGCGAATGGATTGGAGAGGGAAGAGATTGGATTCAGGGAAACCAGTAATGGTAGTAATGCTGGCCCTGAGCTAAGGTGGTAGATATGTCAGTGGAAAGAAGGGGATGGGCATGAGATGTTGGGGATGTAGAATTAACAAGACTTGGTAACTGACTAGATATGGGAGGGGGGCGAGTGAGAGAAGAAGATGACTAAGGTTGTAACCTTAGGTGACTGTAATGATGCTGGTGCCTTTGTCAGATATGGGGAAGTTAGAAGGGAAATGATGAGTTGCATTTTGGACATGTTGAATTGAGAAACTATATGCAATGTCAGTTGATGATGTGAGACTGGAACTCAGGAGAGAAACTAGGGCTGGAAATGTAGACCAGAGACATCTGGACAGAGGTACTAGTTCAGCCTCTAGGATATGATATGATCACCAAGAGAAAGGGTCTAGAGAGAGAAGTGGGAATAGTACCTTGTTTACTGGGATCTCAGGTACCACGTATAAAGGGTGGTTCATGGCTGGTGCTCCTGCAAGGGAGACTGAAAATGAGACAGGCAGGGGGAGAATCAGGAGGTATCATTATCTTTTTTTTTTTAGGAGCTATCATTATCACAAAAATCCAGCGAAGATTAACTGTGTTACTCTGGGCAAACCTAGGGAATCACATAATCCTGGATAAGAAGATGGCCCATAGTGTAAAACTGCAGAGAAATTAAAATGCATCTCCCTAGAAGAAAATTTTGAAGTATGGGAGGGGAAAAAAGGTGGTGATGGATTTGATGGATATGAATATATGTCTAGGAAGGGAAAATGACTTGTGCATGATAGTTCCTAAAATAGGACAATTTGCCCTAAAATAGGGCAAATTTAGTATGAGATCACCTTAATGTAAGACTCTAAGGCTCTCATAAAAAGATTTTTTTTTCAAAGGAATACTGGGAGTTATGGTGAGATTGTGAAGTGGGGACCATTATTGTTGTTGAGCATAGAAAATGTTAAATATACGAAGGGCTGGAAGTTTGGTTGCAATGAAAGCAGGACATCCTGGTGATGAAGTCATGTAAAGTACAATGCTTCTTAAACTGTGGGTCTTGACCCCATATGGGGTTGTGGAAAAATTTGGCAAGAGTAAAAGATTTCTGAATGCACAACGACCAAAAATTAATTAAAAAATCAATTGTGTAATGAATCCAAGATGCCTGTGGCAGGGCTCACCCAACTTCACTGCAGCCTAGGTTCTGAACACAAAGCATGCACACTTTGCAATGTGCATGTCCTCAGGCCATGCAAATGAAATAAGCATGGCCAAAAAGTGAAAAGGGGTCACGAGTGGATAAAGTTTAAGAAGTCCTGATGTGGACTGCAAGCAATGAGACTGTAGAGAATATGAAAGGTCAGGGCTAGAAATATTGGGAAACAATGGCTTCCAGATGATCTGCTCTTCTTCAAAAATAATTTTCTCCCATTTTAGGAACAGGGGATGGTCTTATTGGTATATTGATGATATATTGACATCATAATTATCTGGAATTCTGATAGAGGAATGTTACAGTAAGATACTGGTCATAAGACATGGGTTCAAGTCCTGCCTTTGATATAGATTAACTGTGTTACCCTGGGCAAGTCATTTAATTTCTCAGTGCCCCAGGAAAATGTGTAAGACTATAAGTGGTAGATTAGTTGCTGATGTGCATTGTTCCAGAGAGTTTCAGTACTGGGAAACAGTACTATTCATTGTACTGATAAAATCACATATCTGAAGCACTCCACCATCCCCCTTATTCTTACCTCCAGAAATGTTCAGGTGAAAGAGGGATGTTTACCAGAATTACACAGCATCCCTTAGCTTTTGAAACCTAGTCTTATTTAGGTTATAGACATCATTGTCAGCATTTCAGATTAAATTATCCTAACATGTATGTCTCTTGTTAGTAGAATTTCCTATTTAATAAAACATGGATTTTTCTTTTTAGCTTAGTTCTACCCAGGATGAAGTTTTGGGTGGGGTCCAACTGTGGGAGGAGGGAGGGAGTGTAGGGGAGGTGAAGTCTCCAAAATAAAAGATGACATAAAAGAAAAGATGGCAAGACAGGGGTTTTTCCAGGAAGGCAGAATAACATGTATATGACTGGCATAGAGGAAGGCAATCTTAGCTTGAGGGGATCAATTTAGTTCAGTCCAGTAAGTATATATTGAGTCTCAGCTATGTGCCAAACATTGTGCTAGACACTGAGGAGAAAAGGACAAAATGAAGCTGCTCTTGCCCTTGAAGGGCTTACCATTAAAACCCACATGATGAAGAATTTTAATTTGATTGGAATGGCCATTAGAAGCCATAGCTATGTTCTCAGAAGTCACATAGTAAGCCAAAAAAAAGCCCTTAGAAAAATAATTTGGGTTTGTTTCCAACAGATAATGATCCCCCATGAAAATCGAACCAGTGAAGCTATGTACAATAAAATGAATATTTCTGAACTGAGTGACATGATACCCCAGGTTGGTAAAAAATAATCTGAAAATTTTTCATTTCAACTGATTGTTTAAAAAAGCAAGATGTGTGAATTTTTTGCTGAGGAAAAATTCCCTTTTAGTCTCTTGTTATTACAGCCTCTGCCAGCGATTAGAGAAATAGGATGTCTGCTGGCTTAATTGATTTGGGTGATGCAGTACTGATCCTGGCACCTGGAGAAGATGTAGTCTTTCCTATTGTTGCAAGTATTTGTAATTGATTTACTTCTATTTGACAGCTCCAGATTCGAATTCAGAGGACCTGGGTTCAGATTCTCACTCTGCCATTGTGTGACCTTGGGCAAATCAGTTCACTTTTTGGGACCTCAGTTTCCTCATCTGTAAATGAGGAGGTTGGATTAGATAATCCTTGAGGTTCCTTACAGCTCTGAATTTTCCATCCTATAATTTCATGCTCTTATGATTCTTTTAGAACTTTCCTGGGAGGATGCCCAAGAGAAAGGTGAAAAATGACATTCCTATGTGCTGCCAACATGTGTACAGTCCCCAGGAACTTGTTCTGTTTTTTGTAACAAACAGTTATAGATTTTAAGGAATTGGAGCTCATTTTTCAGACTGGATTTATTACCTCTGGAGGAGAGGTACTGCTAGGTTGAATTTCATTTTTACACCAAATTCTCTTGTGGGGACTCAGATTGCCACTTATAGATTGATGCGATTAAACTAGATAGTATCTGCGGTCTTTTCTGGCTCTGGGTCTGTCATCCTACGTTTTTAAACAACTGAATGCATGTGGTCAGCATGCTTGCCTTTCTTTTTTCATGCTCCTCAGTAACTAACCTCTGCCTTTTTTTTCCCCCTTTCTCTTTTCAGTTTGACTGGCTCAGTTATATTCAAAAGGTCATAGATACGAAACTCTACCCTGACCTCAAGGACATAGGCCCATCAGAAAATGTGGTGGTCCGAGTACCACAGTACTTTAAAGATCTATTCAGGATACTAGGATCCGAGAGGAAAAAGTAAGGACTTCCTTATGAATTTCCTTTTGTTTTGTGCTAAATTTCAAATCTCTGTCTTGTCACCTTAAAAAAAAGTTAAAAAAATAATATTTAGTGAAAATTAAAAAGATCATAGGGAAAACTGTGTGGCCCTTTGAGGAAGATGAATTAGGACTCTACTGCAACATGATTGTAAGTAATGTGCTTTTGGCAATGATTGCACACCCATGATGTTTCTACCCCAATTCGCAATTCTCTCGAGTAAAAATTACTTAGATGGCCTAAATTGTTTATTATCTCCCCTGGTGTTTATGGAATGAGCTGTGTAATGATGTTATTTTTTCTGTGCTTTGTACAGAAGTGTTCCTTTTTCATTTTATTTTGTCCAAATTTTTTACTTCTTTCAATTTTCTTGAAGTCAACCCTGTTTTGTGAGGGTCAGCTATTTTGCAACACTAAATAGCCTTAAAAATGAAAAGACAGAAGACCATTATGGGAACCTGTGTGTGTGTGTGTGTGTGTGTCTGTGTGCGTGTGTCTGTGTGTGTCTGTGTGCATCCATGCATGGTGGAAATGGGAAGGGGAGTACAAGCAGTAATAAAGCGTCAGTTTTTTAAAAAAATAAGATTTAGGATGCATTACCTTGTGACCTTAGTACAAAATAGTGCATGTAGTAACTGCAAATCCTGATCCTTAGGATCCCATATATGCCTTAAGCTATTAATATTTGACTGACAATTTGTTCCAGAAAAAGAGCCAGCATTAGATTCTCTCAGATTTTCTTTGCCAACCTTTATCAGACGTGTGGGGCACAACACAGGGAGTGCTGGATTAAGAGTCAGAGACTTGAGTTCAAATTTAGGATATTAAGTAAGTCCCCTCACCGCCATTGCTTCGGTTTTCACGTCCATAAAACGAGGGGGTTGGGTTAGACAGGTAGGACTTTTTTTTGTGAGGCAGTTGGGGTTAAGTAACTTGCCCAGAGTCGCACAGCTAATAAGTGTTATGTGTCTGAGGCTAGATTTGAACTCAGGTCCTCCTCACTCCAGGGCCTGTGTTCTATCTACTATACCACCTAGGTGCCCCCAACAGGTAGGATTTATAGGGCACTTTGAGGTTAGTAAAGCACTTTACAGTTATTATTTCATTTGATCTTCAGAGCAACTCTGGGAATTAGGTGCTATTATTATCCCCCATTTTACAAATGAGGAAACTGAAGCTGAGAAAAGTTACGTGACTTGCTGAGGGAAGGAGGAGAGGCATTAGGTAACAAGCATATTTGGGAAGACTTGAACTCAGGTCTTCCTGATTCCAAGTGTAGCACTCTCTCCATGGGGCTACTGAGTCCATGATCTCTAATGGCCTTTCTAGCTCTAAATGTATGATGCTATGAATCTGTCAGATGTTATTATAAAATATCTGGTGTATAAGGCAGCCCTTGGTTATTGTCCATTTACCTCCTAATGAAAATTTATTCTGATTTACTGGAACATGAGTTCCTTGAGGGGTAAGACGATTCCTTTGTTGTATAGCACAATGCCTGGAAAAACAAAACAAACGAACAAAAATAAACACTTAACAAATTGTTTTTGTAATTTAATTTATTTTATTCTTAACTTAAGAAATAAAAAAAACATTTCTTACCATAGTAGAATAGAAAAAAAGATTATTGCAAATGGAACTGCAAATCTCTTATGTACAACTTGCTATTCCTTATATATAAAATATATAATATGTATATATATTGCATGTGTAATATATAATAAACTTACAATGTAACTTTTTTCTTCCCCCTGCCCTGCCCCAGCCTTAGAGATGGCTACCATTAGACACAAATATGTATATATGTAAGATCATCCAATCTATACTTCTATTTCTCAGTTCTTTCTCTGTATGGAGATAGTGTCTTCCTTCATATGTCCTTTGTAGTTAATTTGGTTATTTATAATAGTTAAAATGACTTATTCACTCAAAGTTGCTTTTAAAATAATATTGCTGTTACTGTATACAACATCCTCTTGGTTCTGCTCATTTTAGTCTTCATTATTCAGTGTAAGTCTATCCATGACTTTTTAAGATCATCAGACTCATCATTTCTTACAGCACAGTGGTATACCGTGAGCATGATCGTATACCACAACTTGCTCAGCCATTCATACAACAAATACTTGTACACATATGCAATATCTAAATGGAAATGTAATGTCTCTGACTGTCCAGCCGTCTGAAGGAGAAGAAGCATAGTTTAGTGGGAGGAGCACTAGATTGGGTGTCAGTACACAAATAAAATGCTGGAACTGGAAGGGACCTTAGAGATCATTTAGCCCAATCCTTTTATTGTACCATCAGGAAACAGAGGTCCAGAAAGCGAGAGTGATTTGGATCTCTGCTCTTAAATAGCTATATCACCTTGAACAAGTCACTTAAACTCAATGCAAAATGAAAGGGTTGGACTCTCAGATCCCTTTGCCCATCTAATATCCTTTGAAACCCAACTAAGACTCATTTACTCTTCATGTGGCAATATAGTAATTTGATTTTTAATTTAATTTTTAACTTACCTGGGAATTTCAATGGGAAATAGCTCTCTCTACCACAGTAAAGCTTTAGCACTCAATGAATCAGTTTCTCCGCATTCCTGGGTATACTGTCATTGGCTGCAAGTTTGTAGGTGCTTTGGGAAATGGTATTAATATAGTTTCTAAAGGTGTCTAATTTACAACCAGTGGCCAGACTAGGCCCTGGGAGAATTCGATGTATTAGAAAATTCATCTATATGGTAATAATGATTATACTTCAGGTTTTCAGGGCTCCTTTTATTTTAAAGAAGGACAAAGAAAGATGGTGAAAGAATAGAATGAAAGAGGATTTTAATCTGGTTTTTGTCAAGATGATAACTTGAACAAATGTAAACACAATGAAGTTCAATAGGAGAAACACAGACAGAAAATTTACCCCAGAGAACTATACAACATTCATCCAAGCTTTAATTTTAAATATGTGCAAAAAATGCGGTCGTGCAATTATAAATTGACCAGGAGCAGTTTCGAAGAGACAGAAATAATTTAGATTCAATGTATTTCAGTGAAATTCCTATTCTCTGTGTATTACCCAAGGTAATGGTAAGGCTTTACATTTATCTTGCACTTTTGCACTTAGGATATTTTGTCTTCACAGGAGCCTTGTGTATTAGATAGAATGAGTATTATTATGCCTGACTTACAGGTAAGGACACTGAGACAGATAAGTGATTATTAAGGTCACACAGAGAGTTAGTTGTAACATTGAGACTAGAACCTGGATCATTTGTCTCTCAACCCCAGGATTTTGCCACATGGTATTCAACTACTATCTGTGTTGGAAGTATGGCAGAATTGAGGACAGATGGTCCCTTGACAAGTACTTATTTTTTTGTTCTGAAGTCATTCTATCACTTGATTAATAAGCATTTATTAAGCGCTTATTAATACCTGTCACTAGGCTAGTTGATGGGAATTTTTTGTTGTTGTTCAGTCATACAGTCATGTCTAACTCTTTGCGAACCCAAGAACCATAGCACTCCAAGCTCTTCTATCCTCCTGAAGTCTGTCTAAGCTCATGTTTGTTGCTTTCATGACACTAACTATCCATCTCATCCTCTGTGGTCCCCTTCTCTTTTTGCCTTCAATCTTTCCAAATATCAGAGGCTTTTCCTATGAGTCCTGTCTTATCATTCTGTAGCCAAAGTATTTAAGCTTCAGCTTTAGGGTTGATGGAAATACAAAGATAAAAATGAAATGTCAAAGAGACATGGAAAAACTTTTGTGAACTAATGCAGGATAAAGCGAGCAGAATCAGAACAATTTATACTAAAATATCAATACTTACAAAAATGAACAACTGAAAGTCCCAAGAACTCTGATCAATTAAGTGATCATTAATAATTTTAGAGGACTGATAAAGAAGAGTTGCTATTTACCTCATGGCAGAGAAATAATGGATTAATATGCAGAGTGAGAAAGACATTTTTGTATTTGACCAATGTGGCAATATTTTTTTTTGACTGTACTTATGTCATTTGGAGGTCCTTTCTTCTCCAGTTAGGAGAGGAAAAAATCTGATAATTGTAAATATGTATCTGTATGAATATATGTATACATAGGTACATATGTATGTATATGTATATATGTATACATAGGTACATATGTATGTATGCGTGTGTATGTGTGTGTGTGTATATACACACACACATATACACATGGAGAGAGAGAGAGAGAGCGCAGACTTGAAATGTCATTGTATAGGGAACTACCATGTGAGGAAGTGCCCTCTATGATGTGGGTTGGAGATGAGAGAAAGTTATGTGTGATGAACTGCAAGAAGGCCAGTTAGGTTGGACTTAAACATATGTGAAGGGCAATAATGTATAATAAACCTGGAAAGGTAGATTAAGTCCACATTGTGAAAGGTTTTAACTGCCAAACAGAAGAATTTGTATTTGATTGAAGAGACAATGGGAGACCACCGGAGTTCACCGAGTGGAGGAGTGACCAGTGTTTTAGAGAAATATTCTTGGCAGCTGAACTGTATGGAAGATCATTTTGAGAGAGGAGAGGCATGAGAGAGAGACCAACTAGGAGTTTATTTCAATGGTCCAGGCAAGACAGAATGAACACCTGAACTAGGGTTGTGGCTTTGTGAGTAGAGAGGACAGATGGGAGAGATGTTGTGGAGGGTTAATGGAGGGGAAAGGGTAGGAAGGGGAATAAACATGTATATACCACCTACTACATACCAGGCGCTGTGCTAAGAGCTTTACAAATATTATCTCATTTAATATCTCATTGAATATACAAGATTTGGACACTTTCGAACAGATCCAAGTCTGTTCTAGTTCCTACTTACCCAGTGAAACCCATGGTTTCATTGTTCCCATCACCACCACTGCTGACTCTATTCAACACTTTCAATTCTGGTCAACAAACGCTTGAGACTCTTAAGGGTACAAAGAAGAAAGATGACATAATCCTGGTGATAAATTG